AAAAAATTGAAAAAATATAGAGATGAGCAAACAAACAGGTTTAATAAAAACACGCATAAAAGAGTAGGCAGTCTGAGTCACAGTGCCACTTGGTTGACATTGACCTAACTTCACACATTTGCATACATGAACCAAACATAATATTTTCTTAAGAAAACACTTTGAATTTTATACGGATGATTTAATGTTTTAGTTTCGCCTTGGATTCTTTATACAAAGCACATGTTGTTTTAGTTTTCCTCTATAGATTAATATTCAATAAAAGATGGGAAGTGTAAAGTAAGAAAATCTCCAGAAGATGTTCGCCTTTTTCACGACTTTTTCTACAAGTACACGTCTATACGTGTCCTTGTAACAAGCATACTAAATAAACGAATAAAATCTAATTATAGAGTTGAAGCCAGTCGCAATATTTATCAGGATTATGCAAATAAGAAGAGTTTTACTCGATATTTAATTAAATCAATTACATGGTAACTAAACCCGTTTACTGGCACGCTATGGCTCGTTTAGAACAGTGGTGTGAACGCAGCATGATATTTGTAAAACGAATCAAACAAGGCAATAGATAAGGATGATGTCAGTCTATAACTTATCTATGACAATCGATAATGCGACCTCGTTTTGATAGGAAATACCTTTTCGGGAAAAGATGAGCTAATATTGGGTAAAAATAAAGATATAAAAAACAGGCTATTTTTAAAAGTGATGGAATTCTTCTCATTTCGAATTGAATATAGTCTAATACATATAATCAGAATTAATTAGTCATGATCAATTCGTAGCAAAGATATTTTATTGAGAAATATTTTTTAATAGATCAGGACAAACGTGTATTCTATAGGTAAGGCCTAAATGTGTTCAGCCATCTGAACGTTTGACATAAATTATTTATGATTTAAGGTCTTCTTTAGTTAATCACTAAAAGTAACAATCCTTAGTCTCCTCCAATCAAACCTACGTGGATTTTCTGCGTTTTGAGCTACGAAAGATTATATGGTCTAAAATTGCAACATACACAGTTATTAGGTAATTTTAAACAGGGAAACTTGCTTAGCCCGACCTTTCTTATGTAAAAGAGGCCATACTCCTGAATTAAACTGTCCGGACTGTTAATGGTGATTTGAGGTAGCTGTGCGGTATCGAAAAAACATATTCAGACAAAATTCTAAAGAGTTAACGTGACAAGCAATTTTAGTGTTCATTTTGTATCAGTTGTTTATCACACAGATTGTGAGTAATCTCAGAAAATCAATTGTTTACTCGCCAAGGTCAATTTTAATGTCAGCGCGTTTTGTGATTTGATTTGCAATCGACATTGATTAGACACGTTGTTACAATAAAGTATTGAATGTATATGTAATTATGATTGTAAGATTGATCCGGTAAATACACATATTTTTTCTTTACCCGGAAAAATTATCAGGTCAAATTGATGAGAGTCACAAAACCTACTTATTTTTAATTGTCAATAAGGATAGAGTTTCCTAATATTATTGTTAATTGAAACAAACAAATTAATTTAGTAAAATATGTTGTTAGTTTGTAATTTAATTAGCCTTTTTTTCTAATGGGGGAAAATCATCCAATGACTTCTCCCACCCGTTTGAGGCGAGAGGGAGTGTCAGACTCCTACTGACTAAAAACCACCCCGTTCGTACTCCTGCACTTCGAACCGGAGCCCGGTAACCCATTACGCGGCTCCGTGTCGGCATTAGCCCTATTGGGCCCCATCTGTGGTGGTCTGATGGCTAACTTAATTAGCCTAGTACTTATTTATTTCGTAGGATTATATAACCCATGTGGTAGGTAGATAATACGTTGATGTAAACAAGGTTAATAGGGATTAACCTTGGCAAGTACATAGGTAAATCTGGGAAATTGGAAAACTGCTAATGCTAGTACTACATAGACTACATGTCAGTATAAGCCTACATAGGTACTGTCTGTGAGTAAGGAAAATATATTGCACAATATTAAGCCAATGTGTCAATATTTCACACGTAGTCCAAAGTTATTTCTAGTCACGCATTTTTGTGTTATCATCGTGATCGCAAGAAAAAAGAGCCTATTCCTTCTTAACTCGTCGAATACCGGTTTTATAGACACAATTAAAGAACAATAGGTCGCGGTCACCGGTGACCGCTTGGTGTTTGACAGTTTAAAAGGCCGGCAACGCCCCTGTGACACCTATGGTGTTGCGGGTGTCCGTGGGTGGCGCTGGTGGCTTACCATCAAGTGATCCGTCTGCTCGTTTACCTTCTTAACAACAAGGTGATCCGCCTGCTCATTTACCTTCCATCTATAAAAAACAATAATTTTAATTAGCTATTTTAAAAATATTGTTTTCCAAATTAAGTTTAGAGTAAATAAAACAAGATGTAAATCACAATTTTCGGTTCTCCTATTTATCGAATCGAAAGGGTTTCTGGTAGAACTTTTAACCAATAAGTAGATACTAGATAATACCAACCATTACAATTGTACTCTCGGTTAAACAATTTACTTAAATAATAGAGTTGTAAACTTTTTTATATCAGAAAAGAAATAATGCCAATTTATTTTTTCAACTGCTCTATCATTCTGTTAAATATTTACTTATGTAACTAAACTATTGTTGTATATCTAATCGATTTTTTTTAAATCAGACAAAAACCATTGGTCGTGGAAAAAATAACACCTAGTAGGTACACGAGTATAAATCATAAACAAAGTATTGTTTTAAAGATGACATTGTCCTTTTTAGATCCAGTTAAAAGTAATACAAGTGTCCATCGTAATGTTATTTTAATTAAAGCATTATTTGTAGCTGTAGTAAATACTCGGCAGGCCGTGTAGTGTAGGAGCAGTGTACCGACTCCCTTTATCCATATGCGAGTCAGGATCAGTACCTCAGTACATCTTAAGACGAAGTTGTGTCTATTTTTACCTTGCGCCGTGTGGCCAGCCAGCCTAGCCGACTCATTGCATGGGGCAACGACCACCGATGCATCGCCACGGTTAATTTTTAAAAAGTCATTGCCCTTAACTTATTATCGGCACTTACTAACACAAATACCTTTACAAACAATGTCTTCATACATCGTTTTATTGATGCATTACTGTTTTCTATCTTCTAATAAAATTCATTGCATCGTTATTCCGATATGTAAATAAGGTTCATATTGGATTGGGTTTACTTTTAAAGTTTTAACAAAGAATAATAAATATTTCTTTGTGTTATTTATATGCGTTAATAAGGTAGCTTATAGTACCTTGTTACGCGCTTTCTTTCTTGCTTGGATTCCGATGACGTTGATGTCTTTAATATTGAGAAATAATGCGCTCTAATTGCATTGTAAATTGTATACAGTTCTAAATTACATCAAGTAGAAGAACATAATGTGTTATAGGGTAAAATTTCAGTAATAAAAATACCTCCAACACGTTATCACAATATCATAGGCATTTATGTAAGTGCATCCGAACAGTAGTTGCATTTTATGATGCATTTTAACATAACTTGAATAGATTTACTTTTGCATGCCGATACTCGCTACTTGAACAACTGGAAGTATTTTTAGCTAAAGTAACATCTAAACTGCATTGTAGTAAGCGATAGGTTCTTGTATTAATTATGAATGCGGTATAAGCAGTAAGTGTCCGCTTACGGCAACTAGTTATACGATAAAGTGAACAAAGCACGGACGTTATACGATTTTCGGCCATCCGTTTATACGTTACGTATAAGGCTTCATAGAAATAATTGTTACAAAGTGTATTTCCTTCTCGCTTGCACGTGCGTGTGCGTCTCTTGCGCACGACGCTACGTCATCGCAGAAACCAGCCAGCCAATTGACCGGTATACTGCCAACCTTCAGTTTTTTTTATTTATAACTCGCTCTGGCTGGGTAAGTTATGCCTCGTTCAAACGCCGTTTACTACCTGTCTACTTGCCTTAAAAATAAAGGGCCAGTGGGTTTTGTAGCAGGAATAGTAAACGAGGCAGTGATGGGACTGTTGGGTTGTTCTTCAATGTATCCTGAAAGTGGATGATATTAGAATTCTCAAGTACTTTGTCAAATACGTACTTGTCCTATTTTAAAATGACCATATAATCTTCAGAATAGGGATTTCAAAAGAAAAATGTTTGATTATTCTACTCTACATCAAAATAAAAATTTGAATTTGAAATTTTACTACGCTTTAGGGACATACACGTAGTTAAAAACCGCGATGAGGAAATTAAGCTATTTAGTAAAGATGATAAGAATATTCAAATACAAAACAAACTTGTATTACCATAGATACACATAAAGGCAATTTGTGTAATAACATTAATAAACGTTTGTTTTTGAAGTTTAAGAACCCTCTCTTCTTTGGCATGTTCACTATGATGCAAATTACAACGTACTTTGCTTACTAACGTTTAAAACAAAATACGATATTGTTTATCTAATCAAAACAGCCGCGAGGGTATGATAGCGAGATAATACTGAACATCGATAAGATAGCCAATTTCCGAATGGTTTTACACAATATTTTGTCCCGATATTCACATTTTATTTTTGTTTACGTTCACTTTCCCACTATCACAATATGTTTTTAGTTCAGCAATCTAAAATCAAAATTGTGCTTTATTTATACTAGTTTTCTATGCAGTCGTCAGAAGCATTATTCTATCCATCTATCTATTGAACTACTTATCTACACAAGAAAATTACTTACTGCATTCGAGATAAAAGCAAAAACATTATTCATTCTAGTTAAACTGAAGTGGAAGTTTGTCATTTTGTAAAAAATGCACTTTAGACAGAAACATGAAAAATAACTCAGTCAAGTAAACTGGAACAAGTTGCTATCGCGTGTGAACAGAGCATTACACGGTTTAATGAACGAGCAGCGATGGCGGCGGCGCGCGGCGCGAACTCGGTGCGCAGTCGGCCCCGAGCTACAGGCGGCGCGCGCGCAGCTACGCGTTATACCAGTGAAAGGACGCATGACTCATACCAAAACCAGTCATGAACGAGTACGCTGAATACGACTGGAAGCTGCATCAGATGCAAAATGAGCGCCTTTGTGAAGCGGCAAGGAAACGACTTACAGACGGTGACAGGCAACGGGCCCTTAACGGCCTTCGGGATGCAGTGGACAAAAGCCTTAACCTCGCCCTACGTGACAAAAGTAGATGTCAGGATGATAACTTCTTGCGGCGTTTTTTGTACGCGCGTAAACACGACGTGCAACAAAGTTTTGAGTTGTTGGTGAGCTACCACCAGTACCGGCGCGAACACCCGAGCTGTGGGCTACGGCTGACGGCGGCGTGCTGCGCGCGCTCGCCGATGGCCTGCCCGGCGTGCTGTCCCAGCGCGATCGTCGCGGCCGGTGTGTGCTCCTCATGTTCGCTTCCAATTGGATACCTCATGCATGCCCTCTACTCTCAGTGTTCAGAGCCCTCCTACTCACCATTGAACGGACCCTGGACGACATTCAAAACCAGGCCAACGGATATGTCATTATTGTTGATTGGACTGAATTCACGTTTAAACAATCGTGCAATTTACAAGCAAAAGTGTTGAAAATGATGATTGACTGTCTACAAGATTGCATGCCAGTTCGTTTCAAAAGTATACACTTCATCGGACAGCCTTGGTATGTGGAAACCGCTCTCGCTGTAATCAAGCCATACCTTAAGGCGAAAACGCGAGAACGTATCGTGCTCATGGAAACAATCTGTCAACGCTTCATGATGCTCTACCACTTGATATTCTGCCGGCAGAGTTGGGAGGGGAAGGACCTTCGTACAACTCGGAACTTTGGCTCAGGAGTTCTGTCGGGGTGAAAACATTAACCCCGCCCCGATAACGACGACCGTTACACCGATCTTACCGATTGAGAACGATCCTCCTTCTGCTAAATTGGACAAAGCGTACAAACAAAAGGACAATCCAAATTTTTCTTTCCACGGTAACGAAAAAAGTGCAAAATCAGAGTTACTGCGTGATAAAGATTGACCTTATCGCATATTGTGGTTGCAGCATGGTAATAATGGACACAAAGGACTGTTCCGTCCGTGAAACCGCCACCAATCGTGTCGTTGCACTCGTATGCTCCGGTTTGCATTTTGTGATATCAAGTGTATTTTTTAATTTAAGGCATTGAGACTGCTTAGACGATTAGAGTAACCGCTTATTAGGAACGTAGAGGTAGAAATATTATTAAGAAATCGAGGGCTGAAGTGCATTTATATGGCCTCGGATTAGAGCCGCGACCTAATGGAAGTCAAGTCCAAGTAGTTGGTGGGCTCGCGGTAATGAGTCAGGCATTGGTGGCGGTGGGAGAGGATGAGGTCGGCGCATCCCCCGCGCCGGTATGGCGCGCGGTGCGCGGCTCCGCAGGTAACGGTGCTCAGCTCTCGTTTCGTCGCATCCGTTCGAATCACGAGCGCAGCCGCTGGATCTCGGTCTACGTCCACATGAGCTTGCATCTATACATATACTTAGCTTATGTTTTCATGTTATTTATTCCGTTTACTAACCAGTTCTTGTAATTTGTGTACATCAAATATCACTTGATAGTTGTAGAGACCTACATTGCTTTAACCATGTGAGGCTTATTGCGCATTTACTATTATGTTTAAGTCAATGTTTTGAAAGATATGTGATGTCGATGCGATTTATTTTAATAATAAGTATCTATTGTCCTGGTAGTGGAAGGTATTGTGAGTGATGGTCCCATTAATAACGTTTCGATTGTGAGTAAAGAACAGTATTAAATTATTGAAAGCGTGATCCCTGTGCAGCCGTCTGGTACGTGCTGGGCCTGTTTATGTGGTGTGTAGCGTCTTTAACGGTCTAATGGCTCTCACTAATCAACTTCAGAGCTCTCTCATATTACTTATTGTAGCGTAGGGAACGTTGAGTCTACATAGTAGACGTCGAGTGGACAATGAATTGTATGATAAATGTATGTATGTATTATAAAGGCAGCTGCTGTGTAACAGAAAGTCATAATAAAGTTTTTGTACTCGTAAACCAATTACTCTGCAAAGGTTATTTCGGCCGATTGTAAATATGAAATGACTGATACAAAACAATGTATTGATATTATAAGCATTTGACAATAAATGTATTAATGACATATTTATGTAATAATCTCGTTTTATTTTGTAAGTGGTGTTCCAAAAAAATATTATAGTTGCTAACTGGTTGGCTCACGAACTTATTAACGAAGTGTTAACTAAATACGAGTGCGTAATGTTTGTCTGATAATGTAGTCTAATTAATGTGTAGACGACTAGGCAATGCGTCATTCAAAACATCAGTCAGACTCAAACAGAAAGAAGAGAAATTGTATGAATCACAGTGATTCCTATGTCTTGAATCAGACTAATCCCTATTCTATTTGATGACTGGACATAACAAGACGGTTAATATAAGTGGTATTATCAGAGTTTTAATGCCACTTTAACCTATTCCACTTTGAAGGCAATAGACATAATTATTATTATTATGAAAGTATGTGAGCCTGGGGCGGATACCTTTTTAGACTGAATGTACCGTCGACTCAATTATCAGACAAGCAATGATCATAATTTCATGTTATAAAATGTAAGAAAAGATGTTGACACTATAGCCACAACAAATGTTAACATCAATTTATTTATTTAAAATATAACTAAAAATACATATAATTATGGTAGGTTTCTACCTCTAGTATCCATTGTTTGTAGGCAAAGCTTGATAGCTTGTTCTTACAAATAAGTATGGTACTGAATATATTTATTGAAGAAATCAACAACTAGGTGGTCGTATCAAGTAGTCATAAATCTCGACTAGCGAGACTTTGCATAGTTTCTGTCAATTAATAAAAAACCTTGTGTATATTACTTTAAAGCTTTTGTCATAAATCATTCATACCATTTGTGAATGCTTTAAGTTGATTACTGTTTTTCTATTTCGTTCTCATTTAGCGTTGATTGGTGTTTATAGATCAATCATAATACAACTTCATGGGTTTTAATCCCCAAAGGGAAGGGTAGAAACGCCTATACATGATACTGAATACTCATACCAAAAAGATTGTACGTTTCAGCGGTATTTCCGAACCGATACGACCTTCAAACCTTCAAGAGGAGAGCGTAGGTATTCCTTTTGAAGCCAGCAACGCACCTATGACTCCTCTGTGCCTTTAGCCAAATGCCACTTCAGCGCTTGTAAACCAAGAGACTATAAAACTAAATGACACTGACAAGTGTCAAAATTTACGTCAATTCCACGTAATTTAGTTTTCTACTCTACAAGTAGATAAGCGCTGAATGGCATTTGGCTACAGCTGCTGGTGTTGCGAGTGTCCATGGGCGGCGCTGTTCGCTTACCATCGGGTGATCCGTCTGCTCAATTGCCTCCTATTCCATAAAAAAGATAAAACTCAGCATAATAAATATAGCACCAACTTTTCCCTACTTATGTTATGAGACCTACATAACAGTCAGCCGGTTAAGTACCTAATATAATAGATCTGGTTGTTATATATTTCTAGTTCTCACACAACATTCCACCATAACATAATACTTACCCAAAGGAAAATTTCTCATTGGAATATAGATTACGTAAAGTTTAATGAAAACAGCTGCTTTGTTTTCCCGCATTGTTATCGTTATATTATAGAACTAGCTTTTACCCGCGGCTTCGCTCGCGTCACAAAAGGATAAAAAGTAGCCTATGTGACATATACCAATATATACAGCGCCATCTATACCAATACTTTTGTTTTTCCTCGGGCATATCAAATTTCTCCGGGATAAAAAGTACCCTCTTATTTAATCCGGACTTCTAACTTTACGCCTGCAAAAATTCAAAGCAATCGGTTTAGTAGTTACGGCGTGAAAGCGGAACAAACAAACAAACTCACTTTCTGATTTATAATATTAGTAAGGATCTATCGTCCGGAAATTGTCCGACAGTTCGTCAAGTAGACAAGTATCTTGTGTTCTGTTGCAACAAGCGATGGGTGCACGAGTCTTGAGACTGGATCATAAACTATAATAATAAGGACTGTAATGTATCTTATGCTAGGTAAGAACTTTGTGTTTATAGAGGGAAATAATGAGAATCTACCTTTTAGTTTCGTGTTCAGATCTGTAGAATAGTGTCTCTTGGGTTAGCTAAACCTTTCTTATATATTTAGAGGAAGATCTTGCTTTTACTTAATTTAATATTAGGTAAAGAGTTAAGTAAGTGCTAGTCACATTCATGAGATATGATAGCGTTTCTAGATATAATACTCATACGAACGGAGTTTGTGAGTGTTATCAATACTTACGTAGAGTTTTAATACAAACCATCTTTCATTACTCATCCCAAAAACAATTGGAGGCCTTCCAGGTTGTTTATAACCGAGGTCCACTTATCATTTTCCAATAATGATCCATTCTACTCGACCCCAAACAATATGGCGCTCATTTTAATGTGGCTTATTCATTCAAATACATTACGTCCCTATTTTTGTTTCGCCTATGGCATAAATGAGCGAAGTTTATGGAGTGTGTAGACAATGGGTGTGCGCACACGCAGTGGACATGTGAGTCACGTGGCACTGCTTCCGTCGACGAACCACAGCGGAAGGAACCTACCACCTCTAATTGACACATAATATATTTAATCCGTTTTAGTGTAGGTGTACCCTAACTATACGTCGAAGTAAATTTATGGGCAAAACACCGGAATTGAAATCGTGCGCAACTCATAGCTCACTCATAACTGTAGATTAATTCCGTTGTTATATTGTTGGCACATGCAATGCCAATGTTCGTTACAGATTAGCGTTACTCTGATTTGTACAATGGTACCTAGGTAGGTGCAATGCTGGAAAAAATTTGCGTGTGTATAAAGAAAATATATAGTTATTTCAGATTTTAATAAGACTTTGTTTTTTATTAAAAGCGGTATTAACTCGTCGAGTACCGGTTTTATAGACACAATTAAAGAACAATAGGTCGCGGTCACCGGTGACCGCTTGGTGCTTGACAGTTTAAACACATTCTATTTCATACACTTGTTCTGGTTTTCACGACGATATCCTAATTAAGCCTATCAAAATCTGGCTAAACTACTAGCTAAAACACATTTTCATAGCCTATTATACCACTATAATGTACAAGCACACACCACATACTTATTGTAGTGACACTTTAGACCAAACATGTTAAATGTGGTGACTTTATCAAGAGTTACAAATCCATTTGTTCCGTGGTCAAATAATTTGGATTTGACTAAAAACCTGTTTAACTTCATAAAATATTACTAAAACTACATAAAACGACCCGACTTTTATTTATTTATTTCAATTAAATAGTATAACATTACAGTCATAAAACCAAGGCGTTATAAATTTCAAATAACTATAAAAGAAAAAAAAAAACAAAACAAAACAGAAAAGTCCTTAAATAAAACAAATAATAAGAATAAGAAAACCTTTATGTAAATACTGTGATTTCGAAGTCAAAGTTACACACAGGGAAGTCCTCTATTTAATAATTGTTTCTATATGTGTGCAGAAGATTCTTGAAAATATTAAATCTAATAATTATGTTTTTCGGCTCACTCACGTATCTAATTATTTGACGGGGAACTCGACTAGTTTCAAGCCATGCTAGAGGCTCATATCCATGAGTAGCATTCCGCGACGCGTGACGCGGCTATAGTCGAGCTGCTACTCATTCTTACGTTAGTAAAATAATAATAATTAAATTTAGCATGGCTCATGAAAGTAATAACATTAATATTAAAATCTGTCACCAATCCATCTGCACAGGTGTCATTGAGTCACGAGCCAGTTCCACCATGTTTAAAAATAAAAACATATTCTTATATCATAACAAACAAAACCCCATTGTTAGAACATGGACACTCAGAACATTGTTTAGATAATTATGTTAATGCACCATGAACAATCTACTGTAATCCCATCATACCACAAGGTTCAATTTTCCTTGAGATTAATTTACACCACG